AGCGATAAAACTCTGTTACAGGGACAGCTCGAGTTCTCCTTCGGAAGCGATGACAAGGATCAGTGCTTCTCCCCAAGGTAGCGCTGTTCACGTTTGCTTACGCTGAAGAGTAAAAGGTTGTGTCGTGAGCACAGCTTCAAATACTTTGAATGTCTTGCAACACAGGAAGATAAATTACCACAACGTCCATCACTTACACTTAGATTACTTCGAGCAGCTGTGCTCTATGCACCTTAAATAAAAATTGATTTTCAGATACGCGTAGGCTGGGCTTTTGGTTTATGTATAAGGCAAGTAAGGGGAGAAGCTAGCTGGAAGCAAAATCAGAGTTTAGATTGGCTGTTCATAAGGGTGACATTTCCTTAAAAGACCTTTTTTTTTTTTCCATCACGCACATCACAGAGATTTAAAATCTTCATCGACTTCTGAAAACACAGTTCCGCGAGGACAAAGGATGATACATTCCTGGCGAGTGTGTAAAGTATAGTAGTTTTAAAGACAATAAATGCAAGGTCACATTAGGGCAAAGCAGTTAATTACCCACTTCATTATTGTCAAGGTTAATATAGTATTTGAGCGCAGAAGCTGTTTTTCATCTCCTTTTGGAAACAAGGCAAGACAGCGTTTCGCACAGACAGATCCATTATAGCTTATCACCGGAGGACAGACCGCTACAGAAACACCATGAAGGATGTCTGCTGTCAGCGGGCTCCAGAGCAAAACGCCAAGCCTGTCCAGAGAGCAATGGAAATGAAACGAGAGCCACGGCTTCAGAGTGCCACGCTGTGATTCACGGAGATTGCGCCCCGCTGATTTGAATGTATGACGGGAACGCTGGCGCAGAATTCATCGACGCTCCTTCGTCTGCTGCAGCATTGATCCCTCCTAAGTTGCACGGTGCGCTGAAAAACATCCTCGAATAAACCTGGGGTACGGACTCGGGCAAATCCCACCTTGCTGCGGTGAAGCCGGGGAAGGCGGCACCTGCGGCAGGGCTCCGTCCCTGTTCCTCGCGCAGGCCGGGGGGTTGTACGGGTTGCCGTTACGCGGCCGCGGTAGACGGAAACAAAGGCCGCATAAATCTTAGCCCATCAGCCTTTGTGAAGAACGCTTGGCTTTTAACTCTACCTGCAGCAACTTTCAAAATTCTTGAAGTTTAAAAATCTGGAGAGCAGTAAGCGGTAAAAACAATTAGAAAAAAAAATATAAGTAGATATAGAACATACACAAAAATAGAATTCCTTCCTTATATGGAAACATGAGGGGTTTTTTTGAAGTTCATAAAGCCTTTAAAATTGACAAACTAGTCTGTATCCTATAAAACTAAGTATCAGGATAACTGTGCTTATATCACTTTTGAAGTAGCCTTTTTCTGTTCCGCTTTCATTCAAGGGTTTTGTTTTGCTTCGTAAGGCAGAGCTAGAATTTCCCATCTTTTGTGATTTCTGCCGTTGTATTTCGGCCCCAGAAGGTTTTCTCTCTGCTCACCGAGGTGAGGCAGTAACTGCAGGCTACGAGACCCCCGTGTCAGCGGTGCAGCCTGTCTGCTGGAGTCAGTCCTTTGGACCTGGGTACTTCTGGCCCTGATGCTGTCATTAAGCTTGCGGATTTGGGAACTTAGGCCGTGGTTATGGCAGCTCTCAACCTCTAGCTTCTTTTTTCTTTAGGGCTTGTTCAGCCTGGAGAAGAGAAGGCTCCGGGGAGACCTTATAGCACCTTCCAGTGCCTGAAGGGGCTACAAGGAAGCTGGGGGGGACTTTTTACAAGGGCCTGTAGTGACAGGACAAGGGGTAACGGGTTTAAATTGAAAGTGGGGAGGTTTAGATTCGACATAATTGTTAATATTAATAATTGATAGTAATACAGGACTGAGAGTCCTGTAGAAAATGTACGTCTGGGATAGGTAAGTTTTATCCCTCTTTGCACTGGCCCTTTTAATTTACTCGTAGAGAGGAGCTTGAAGCAAATAGGAATCACAGCCATCACATCGGTGTTTGCCAGTGGTCATCCTCAAGGTGCTGGGAGAAAACGGGGGTTTCGTTCTTAATCCCCTTAACTTCATCAGTCGGGATGAGACAGCACTGAGGTCCCAGAGCTAACCGGGACTGCTTCATCGGATTGGGGCTTCAGTGGCAAATGCTTATTTTTGGCAAATCAGAGTTTCCTACAAGGCTTTTTTACTCTCAACTTTTAAAAAATCCTTATAATGAAAAAGGTGGCTCCCAAGCGTGCAGAAAATCCCTGAACTTCAGGGTTTCGTCATCAATGAATTCCCTAACACACAAACCCTCAACTGCATGCTTCTAAATCTTCCTTCCGGAGGTGTCTAAAAATCCTGCTTCCAGAGAGTATCTGCTTGGAGGAGCAGAAGCAGAACTCCCCTTCCCTGCATCTGACGAGGACGCCCTGCTCCCAGGGGCTCCCTCTGCTCCGAGGTCCTTTTGCGTGGGCACGACGCGGGCTGCTCCAGGAAACCTCTCCTTTATGAAGGCCAGTCCCACAGAGAGTATTAAATTGGCGTTTCACTCCTTGGCATGCGCTTGCACAGGGGACGCGGGGTGGCAGTTGGGTTATTTCAATCTTGTTTTCAATTATAAGCATTTCATTGTCAAATGTTGCTGGTTTATTATGTGATAATTAAATATGAATGATCGCGCAGTCATCCTGCCAAAGCGGCTGCAGCCGGATGAAACCAATTCCTCTTGTCTGGCTTCGGAGGCAAAAGGAGTGATCTATTTGCTGTCCCTTATTTTTGCTGTCCTATTGTTTCGGTATCACTAGCTTCAAAATAGCAAACTAGGCAAGTAATTACGGCCATAAATCAGATCAGGGATCAGTGTGAGGTCAGGCTGCTTTGCTTGCAGCCCGGCTTTTCTCAGCTGCCTTTCGCTGAATCGCAGAAAAGTACATTGCTGTTAATTTTGTGAAAATGTGATTTTAGTAGTGATGAAATGCGTATTTTGACAAAGTTGGAGCCCCTACGTTCTTTCGAGCAGGGGTTGAGCAGCCTCACTGTGCTTGGAGTGGAGTGTTGCAATGAACATGAGCCGGCCGTGTGCGCTGGCAGCCCAGAAAGCCAACCGTATCCTGGGCTGTATCCAGAGAAGTGTGGCCAGCAGGGTGAGGGAGGGGATTCTGCCCCTCTGCTCTGCTCTGGTGAGACCCCACCTGGAGTGCTGCGTCCAGCTGTGGAGCCCTCAGCATCAGAAGGATATAGACCGGTTGGAGCGAGTCCAGAGGAGGCCACGGAGATGCGCCGAGGGCTGGAGCCCCTCTGCCATGGGGACAGGCTGAGAGAGTTGGGCTTGTTCAGCCTGGAGAAGAGAAGGCTCCGAGGAGACCTTATAGCACCTTCCAGTACCTGAAGGGGCTACAAGGAAGCTGGGGGGGGCTTTTTACAAGGGTCTGTAGTGACAGGACAAGGGGGAACGGGGTTAAATTGAAAGTGGGGAGGTTTAGATTGGATATCAGGCAGAAGTCTTCCCAGAGAGGGTGGGGAGGCACTGGAACAGGTTGCCCAGAGAAGCTGTGGATGCCCCATCCCTGGAAGTGTTCAAGGCCAGGCTGGATGAGGCTTGGAGCAACCTGGTCTAGTGGAAGGTGTCCCTGCCCGTGGCAGGGGGGTTGGAACTGGATAGTCTTTAAGGTCCCTTCCAACCCAAACCATTCTGTGATTCTATGATTGAAGGGCCAGTGGCAAGGCTGAACGCTACAGTCGCTGTCTGATACACCATGCTTGGTGTCTGATAAGCCACAGTCAGCATCTGATATGCCATGGTCAGTGTGCAGCATAGGCAGGCTGCAGCTCGCCTAGGGACGTCTTCTTGGGGTCACCACAGGGACTCTGTTTAAAAAGGTAAATAAGATACAGCTGTAGATATTTAGCCGAAGCAAATCAGCAAAGCAAATGTGTTTTCAGTAGAGCCGCGCTGATTTATGGCCCTGGCCCTTAAACTGTACATCTTATTCTTGTGGGGTGTTTATAAATGTGAAGCGTCGCTTAATGGGAGTCAACTGCTGAAAAATGGATGCAGCCACGTGTTACAGTCTTCAGGTGGTACTAGCTAAAAACAGTCAATCTTTCTTGAAGGAGACTGTAACCAGGTGCTGCTCCCCTCCCATCCTACCAGAGCACCAGTGTTTTGGACAGAAAGGAGTAAGGATAGGCAGGGTGTTGTGGGCAATCAGTGGGAGCAGGTTCACGTCTGCAGTGCTCCTACACACGCGCCATCCACGGTTGGGGGATCGCTAGGGGACTTTGCAATATTAGGACACAAAAAGGGCCAACACCGCTGCCACCACATGGCATCTGTGATGTGGATGTCCCAAAGCCATGGTTGCGCACAGTGGTTTGCTGGATGCTGTCTCTTGTAACGAGGTGTAGTTTTTTCCCCTCTTCCCCAAGGGTCTTTTATGCTAAATTAACTAAGAGGCAATCACCAGAAGTAACTCTGCTACACAGGAACATTCTGTTTTGTACACAAAAACCCCAAACCCAGTACCTTCTAAACTATACGCTACTTTCCATCCCAACAGTTTGTTAAAATAACACAAAGAAGTGGCCGCTCAGTGGTTTTCATTTAGCTTATCCACACCCTATAAATCAGATTCAGCCCACCAGTTTGGCTGGATGTGGACAAGGGAATAATAACAAATAAAAAACAAGTAGAGGTTTTAAACGTCTCTGCTGTTGGCTGCTGAACACCCACCTCTCGAACTGGGCTTTGCAAGAGTGTCTTGGGCTTGCATGGCAAATCTCAGTTTATGGTATACACCAAATTTAACCCCTCCTAGTTTATTAATTTCTGCATATCCTGCTGTAAGTATTTATTTATTTTTTTTTTCTAGAGATGGATTATTCTGAGGTACGTCCTGGAAGAACATAACACAGTGGTATTTCTGGGTGAACCATAGAATTTTTTTTTTTTTATGGTTTTCTTGGTCAGATATTAAACAAAAACCAGTATTTAATCAAAGCAACTTTTTATTCTTATTCCCAGACAATTGTTAGAGGAAATAAGCCTCGAAAGGATACTTCAATCAACGGCCTGCTGGAAGAGTTTGACAATATCTCAGTGACACGATCCAATTCCCTGCGGAAGGAAAGTCCTCCCACCCACCATCAAGGCAATGCAAACCATGTGCCAAGGCCCCAGGAGGAAAATGGTTATATCACGTATTCCCAGTACTCCAGTGAGTCAGACACTACAACAGACTATGTCGTGGAAAAGTATCGAGACAAGACCCTTTACGGGGAAGAGTTAGACAGGTACTACAAAGGGGGCTATGCCACCAAGCAGAACGGACACATGATGAAGGTGACTTCCCGGGACATCTATTATTCAGAAGTGACACCCCTGCAGTCAGACCTCTCCAGGTTCCTCCCAGATTACCAGGCACACCTGGAGACAAAGCCCAAACCACTGGAATACGGCGGCTTAAAGCTGGAGTATCAGCGGATCCCCAGCGGATCCTCCCTGGACTATAGAGATCCCTTTCCTTACACCCCATCCCGAGCGTCGGTGCAGAGCGAGTGCCCCAAGGAGAGGCTGGAGTACAGCGATGGCGACTGGGGACATGGCCTAGGCAAGGATGACTACGACAAGAGGCCAAAGTCATCCTACGTGGACCCAGCGAGCCCTCAGCCGGCGATGAGGCAGAGGTCCAGGTCAGGCTCTGGTCTGCAGGAGCCGGCCATGCCCTACGGAGCCAGCGCTTTTAAATCACACCAGCAAGGACATTCCTACAGCTCCTACACCTACCCCCGCTTGTCCGAAACCGCAGCAGGCATCCCCAAGGTAACGTGACAACCCAGGCGGCAGTGCTGCCAGGGCAGGGATCAGCCTTTCCAGACGGGGAGTGCAGAAAATTTAAGGGCACGGAGTCATGCTTGGGCACACGATGCCGAACGCAGCCAGTAATGTCCCCAGGAGCTGCATGGCTGCTGCTGCTTTACTGGAGTATCTGAACATGGATGTCAAGGACCAGTGAGTTTAAGATATTTATTAAAAGGCAGGTTGGAGATGCCCAGGTGCTGGTTGTTTTATGTGGAGTTCCCAAAAACCCTGAGTTCTTTGGCAGTTTTCGTAGCATTAGGAGTTTGTACGCCTGTGCAGATCCCGTCAGGAGGTGAGAACCTGGTTTGGTTTGTGTATCAGATACTTTCATATAAGGTTTATTCACCCTTTGCTGCTAATGAAAGTAGGGGGTTTTAGACAGTGAAATTAAATCAAATCAGCTTATCTCACCCAAGACATTTTAGATGTAGTTAAAAAAAAGGGTAAGGTGCAAAAAAGCATTTCATCTACAATATCTACGTGCAGCTCCTCTGCACAAAGTCGTGGCCTGCTCTGCCTTTTCTAAGTCACATGAGGAATACTACCCATAAGAGCTGTCTTGCCCCGTTTGCAATAGTTTGTGGTAACAAAAAAAGGGTAAGGTGCAAAAAAGCATTTCATCTACAATATCTACGTGCAGCTCCTCTGCACAAAGTCGTGGCCTGCTCTGCCTTTTCTAAGTCACATGAGGAATACTACCCATAAGAGCTGTCTTGCCCCGTTTGCAATAGTTTGTGGTAACTATTTTTTAGGAGAGTAACGCTTTTCTTACACGTCTAGTCACATAGCTGCAATGATGACCTGCTTAAGCATCTAATGTTCTGCAAGAGATGTTTCTTCTTCAGTGCAGATTGCATGGAACATTAGCGAGTTCCCCTAGCAACGGGTGCAGAGATGATAGCTCATTTTTCCAGGGCTGAAACAGTCCTGGGTTGCTGTGAGTACTGCACATAGGAGCTGTCTTACCCCGTTTGCAATAGTTTGTGGTAA